AGTTTACATTTAAGCCACACGTGCGTACAAATTATTTGTAAATCTATAACTTTTTAAACGAGGGTTGTGTTATTTATCCGTTTGATTTTGACTATATTCCGTAACCGCCTCGTCGTCAGGAATAACAATGAAAACTAGAATTATTACTCCCGTGAACTTGTAATAAACATCCGTTTGCTTTTGACTATATTCCTAAACTGTCTTGTTGTCAGAAATATCACCAAAAAGTAAATTTCTTTCTCCTTTGCACTTGTGAAAAATTAGTTTGACTATATCCCGGTCCGACGCTCCTTGTTTATCTGAAATGTCACTTAAAAGTAGAGATTTTGCCTTTGGATCTTTTTTCTGCAGCAGGTCCAGCTGGGTGTGGCTCAGCTGAGACGCGCATGGTCAGTGTCAACGATTGATTAAATACTTTTCACGCCAGTTGAACGTCCATGACAAGTATTTAGCAAAAATTGACCAAATTGGTCAGACATTACGTTAGAATTTGGCGGGAGGTGACCAGCGCACGTGGACGAGTTTATTTCATATAACATCCCTAGAGCGTGATATAGGGTCACTTTATTCGGTTTTAGGGGTGTTTTAGGTAGTAAATAATGCACTGTCCACGAGCCCGATATCACGATAGCATGCCGAGCGCCAGCGAGGCATGCTATCGTGGATATCAGGCGAGGGGGTAACAGTGCATTATTTGTCATACATACAAAGGGAAATCGTTCGTGTTCCCCACCCAAACCCCCTAACATTGAATAGAACACGCTGATATCACCGCGCATGGGGTGATATCAAAGAATGGACTTTCCCCGCGTTTACTGCCTAATTGCGGTCACCGTCCAATCATTTGCATTTGCGTGAATGGTTTTTGGTTGCGTGTCTATTGACAGAGACATGGGTCAGTGGGTTTCTGTGAGTAGTTGGCTGATTTCCTGCCCATCTTCCGCACGTGGCAGTCACTCCGTCTCATTTATTGTTTCGGTCCCTGCAATTCTTTTGTTTAGATATCAGCCCCGTGGTATGTATGATGAAATTATTGTATTTTGTCTCGGTATGTATGTTAAATAATACACTGTCACCCTCTCGAGATATATGCCATGAACACCTCTCGCTGACGCTCGTGGTGTTATGGCATCTATCGCTCGGGTGACAGTGTATTATCTCCCAGTATATCACCACTCCATGGGGTAACTGCCTTGATTTTACTG